TTTCTTTTATTTTTTTATTTTTTATTTTTATTTTTTGAGACGGAGTTTCGCTCTTGTTACCCAGGCTGGAGTGCAATGGCGCGATCTCGGCTCACCGCAACCTCCGCCTCCTGGGTTCAGGCAATTCTCCTGCCTCAGGCTCCTGAGTAGCTGGGATTACAGGCACGCACCACCATGCCCAGCTATTTTTTTTGTATTTTTAGTAGAGACGGGATTTCACCATGTTGACCAAGATGGTCTCGATCTCTTGACCTTGTGATCCACCCGCCTCAGCCTCCCAAAGTGCTGGGATTACAGGCTTGAGCCACCGCGCCCGGCCTATTTTTTTGAGATAGAGTCTGGGTCTGTTGCTCAGGCTGGAGTACAGTGGCGTCTTCTCGGCTCACTGCAACATCAGCCTCCTGGATTTAAGCAATTCGCCTGCCTCAGCTTCCTGAGTAGATGGAACCACAGGCACGTGCCACCATGTCCGGGTAATTTTTATATTTTTAGTAGAGATGGGGTTTCACCATGTTGGCCAGGCTGGTCTTGAACTCCTGATCTCCAGTGATCTCTCGCCTCGACCTCCCAAAGTGCTGGGATTACAGGCATGAGCCACCACACCCGGCCTACATTTTAAATAAATTGATGTGACTATATCATCTTTGAAGAATCAACTATACCTATTACTTTCTAGTTTCAACGCACCTTATCTTTTTGCCTCTCAGAAGATTGAACAGATTTAATCTTGATGTGCTCAAGATACTCTGTGCTTAACATTAAACAAAAATTACATGATCTAAGCCCATTATTAACAAATAAAGACAAATCAGGCAATAATAAAATTGGGAATTGTATCTTATTTTACAGAACAAGGGAAAACTAAAGGATTTAGACTTGTGTGGGTGAGCTAATTGTGTCCCAAGTATGGTGAAAAGCTTTAGGGCAAGGAAGAAAGCAAAGAGAACAGCCTATAGTGTAGGTTAGAGGTTTGAGGATTTCAGAAGGGAGGATGGTAATTAATCAGGATCTGTCAGTTCTAACAGAATATACTAACAGGGACTGGGTTTAAATCCTGGCTCTTCTACTGACTCAGCCTCTTTGAGCCTTACATGTCTCACTTGTAGAATGAGAATACATATATTTCCTTATAGGATTAATGTGAGTGTGAAATTGAGACAAAATGTATAATGTGCTTGGTGTGACTGGCACACAATAATGGCTCAGTAAGTGTTGATTATTGTTATTGCTGTTAATTTACAATGACCTCTGTGAAGTGTTTTATTTTGTTTTAGTAGAGACAGGGTTTCACCATGTTGGCCAGGTAGTCTTGAACTTGTGACCTCAGGTGATCCGTCTGCCTTGGCCTCTCAAAGTGCTGGATTACAAGCACGAGCCACTGTGCCCAGCCCTCTGTGAAGTTTTTTCCAGATGTATTTGAATCACTTAGTGTGTACTTTTAAGATTTATTTGAACCCATTAGTGTGTGCTTCTCTGTTGGCATTTCACCTAGGCACTTGCTCAGTAATTATTATTTTGTTTATTTTGATAAGAGCCCTTAAGGATAGCAGCTCTCTTGGTATCCCCTGTGCAACTTATACCTAGCATCTTACCTTGTGAGAGAAAAAATACTTGGTAAATTTGTGACTGAAATTGATAAACAATAGATCATATTCAGTCCGAGTTCTTTTGTTCTTCTGTTGGCAGCAAGTTGATAAATTTCCAGTCCTGGTTATATGAGCTTCAACATCTCCTACAGTATCACTTTTACTTGTTTATTTTTTAATTGCTGATACAGATGCATCCATAATAAATATTTGGTTTTTGTGATGATCAAACACAGTCCCAATTACAAGGCAATTTAGAAGTAAAACAGAAACAGAAATATAAACAGCTTAACACCAGAAGGAAGCAAAACTATATAGGTCTCTTTGCAACAGCAGTTCTGAAATTGTTTTTATACATTGTAACAACAAATATATCAACTTGCTTATTTCACAAATTTAAGTTTGGTTTATATATTTTATTGACATGGTTACGCAACTTCCACATCGTTCCATCTGCATCTTCCTCTTACAGACATTTTTCTTCTACTTTTTAGTTGTTTTCTCCTTTTTTTTGTTTCCTATTTCAAAATCAAATTTATTTTACTTGCAAACTCAGTGAAATATGGTTTGAAACCAGTAGGGTCTCTAACTTAAGCCCAGAACCTGTCAAAGAGAAGTGCAGTATCATTGCTAAGACTTGAACAGCTTATCTCTCAGAATCTTCAATTCCTTTGAATTTCTCAGCTCTTAGTATAATCTGTTTTGTGTGTTTGTGGTAGACTTCCATTATGGATAGATTTCCAAAATAATTTGAGTAGTCAACTGGTATTTTAGCATTCTGGTAGCTAACATGTTTAAAAATCTAAGCCTTTTTTTCGTGCAGAGGAGACTTATTCTTGCTTTCAAAAGTATAGGCAGGAAACCTTAGGTTCAAAGGTAGTAAATAATATAAGAGCAAATTGCTGGCCGGGCGTGGTGGCTCACGACTGTAATCCAAGCACTTTGGAGGCCAAGGCAGGCAGATACCTGAGGTCGGGAGTTCAATATCAGCCTGACCAAAATGGTGAAACCCTGTCTTTTTTTTTTTTGTTTGTTTAAAAAGAGCAAATTGCTAGTGATGATACAACTGCAGCCTCTATGGTGTATTTGTTTGGCTCAGGTACTCCAGAAATGAGAGTTCTCAGAATTACATAGGAGAACTGATATGTTGCCTGGATACCACACTACCAGAGGAATAAAAATGTAGTCAGAGTAAGGGATTTTATGTTTTACAATGAGACAGTGTTAGTATAAGAAGCATTCCAAATATGCCAGTCCTCTTAAAGTCATAGCAGACGTTTTTAAGTTAATTTCTTTTTTTTTTTTTTTTTTTTTTGAGACAGAGTCTTATTCTGTCGCCAGGCACCAGGCTGGAGTGCAGTGGCACAATCTCAGCTCACTGCAACCTCTGCTTCCCAGGTTCAAGCAGTTCTCCTGCCTCAGCCTCCCGAGTAGCTGGGACTACAGGCACGCACGCCACCATGCCCAGCTAACTTTTGTATTTTTTTTTAGTAGAGACGGCGTTTCACCATGTTGGCCAGGATGGTCTCGATCTCTTGAGCTCGTGATCCACCCGCCTCGGCCTCCCAACGTGCTGGGATTACAGGCTTCGGCCACCACGCCTGGCCATTAATTTCTTAATGTCTCTTATTTCTCACCTTTTTTAGAGGAAGGCAATACTCAGGTTAAAACTTTCACCCAAAAGCCGGGCGCAGTGGCTCAAGCCTGTAATCCCAGCACTTTGGGAGGCCGAGGCGGGTGGATCACGAGGTCGAGAGATCGAGACCATCCTGGTCAACATGGTGAAACCCCGTCTCTACTAAAAATACAAAAAACTAGCTGGGCGTGGTGGCGCGTGCCTGTAATCCCAGCTACTCAGGAGGCTGAGGCAGGAGAATTGCCTGAGCCCAGGAGGCGGAGGTTGCGGTGAGCCGAGATCGCGCCATTGCACTCCAGCCTGGGTAACAAGAGCGAAACTCCGTCTCAAAAAAAAAAAAAAAAAAAAAAAAAGCTTTCACCCAAGGATAAACTCCTGGGGACTTCACAAGAATTTTGCTTTCTTTACAGTATGTCAGGACATGATTGTGAGAATTAAATATAGGAGTGAAAAACCAGAGAAATGGGGCAAAATCCCAGATTAGCCTTTCCTCTTTAAGCATCAGCTTCCTGTTTTAGAAACATGCTTTCATCACCACATTCAGCATTTTTTTCTTGCCTCTAACCTGCTGTTATTTTAAAAAGTATTATGGGCTGGGTGCAGTGGCTCACACCTGTAATCCTAGCACTTTGGGAGGCCAAGGTGGGTGGGTCACGTGACAGGAGTTTGAGAAACAGCCTGGCCAACATAGTGAAACCCCATCTACTAAAAGTATAAACATTAGCCAGGCATGGTGGTGTGTGCCTGCAATTCCAGCTACTAGGGAGGCTGAGGAAGGAGAATCACTTGAATCTGGAAGGTGGAGGTTGCAGTGAGTTGAGATCGTGCCACTGCACTCAAGCCTGTGTGATGAGAGCGAGACTCTATCTCAGAAAAAATAAAAGTATCCTGGGCCAGGTGCAGTGGCTCGTGCCCATAATCCCAGCATTTTGGGAAGCCAAGGGTGGATGGGTCACTTGAGGTCAGGAGTTCGAGACCAGCCTGGCAAACATGGAGAAACCCTGTCTCTACCCAAACTTCGAAAGTTAGCTGGGTGTAGTGGCGGGCACCTATAATCCTAGCTACTTGGGAGGTCTAGGAATGAGAATTGCTTGAACCTGGGAGGCAGAGGCCACAATGAGCTGAGATGGTACCACCACACTTCAGCCTGGATGACAGAGCAAGACTCAGTCTCAAAAAAAAAAAAAATTTTTTTTCTGTTCTCCCAGTGGTGATCAGTTGACATTTGTGCTAGGGACCTTGAAGGTCTGATTTAGGTCCAGCATTTGTACTATAGGTACCAAGAGTAGTCAAAACTATTAAAAAGGCAAGTTATTATATTGGAGGCTACTGTTTTCTTTATTTCTCAAACATCTTTCTTCCATTCATCAGCACTTCAGCAGCTATCCTGGTGAATTCTTTTTGCTAATTCTTTCCAAGATGCTGACAACTAAACTGTTAGCAGGCACTAGCTCAACCCTCTCCTGCCACCCACTAATTATTCTCATCTCTTCCCTAAATGTTAGTTCCCTATTCTTCCACCCTAGAGCTAGACCTCTGGAGGCTGAGGCTGGGAAAATACTGCATTTCTCTTATTTTTCACTTCTTAGGAGGGAATGATTATGGCATATACTTGCAGTGCCATTAGAAGCATTGGCAATACCTGATCTTTTTGATAATTTAAGGCTTAGAATCATCAAAAGTTCCAGGTTCACATCTTTCGAAAATGGACGTAATGGAGGAAATTCTAAGTGTAGTACAATACTGAACTTCCTTTTATCCTTCCTTGACAGTGTTTCTTTTTTTTGAGTTGCAGTCTCGCTCTGTCACCCAGGCTGGAGTGCAGTGGCACAATCTTGGCTTACTACAGCCTCTGCCTACTGGGCTCAAGCGATTTTCCTACAGGTGCCTGCCACCACGCCCACTACCTTCCGTGTCATACTAAGAGAAAACTGATCTAATCTCCCTTTCTAGTACAGCCAGTCTTGCAATTCTGGTTCACATGTTCTCAGAAAGGAGAGACTATAATGAGATGGTGGGTAATCTTTTAGCATTCCTAGATCCCTTTTTCTCTAGAAGAATTCTAAGGATGTTGATAAATGTTATATAGTAAGTATTTTCTCCCTCCAGAGATATCCAGCAGGAAAGTCCTTAGAGGCATCTGATTTGAGGGAAAATCCACAATTGCGCCATTATATTTCTAATGTTTGTCAGCAATCTTCATAACATCATGAAGATGGAAAGCTTTCCATAATCCTTTGTCACACATTTTTTTCTCCTTTCATAGTTATTTTGGGCTCAATAAAAGTAGTGAGATTAGTACAAAGTGGGAGAAACTCATTTACTCTTCTCCATCTCCCACTATTTCAACTCCCCTTGAAATTAATATCCAAACATTATGACAAATGAAGTTAAGTCGGAATAGAAGACATATATTTCCTTTTTTTGGAGTTTCTTAGAAGTGGTTAGCTCAGTACACGGTGCAGACCGGTGTAATAAGGCTGTGGGTTTTGCTTGATTGTGAATAATTGCAGTAATCCAGTAGGTTTGCAGAAATGCATAGAAAATTTACAAACAACATCCCATTTCCTCTTGAAAATGGCAAATCAAAGCAATGATACAAAATATCCCACATGAAAAGTTTTAGGTGTATTCACTTCACCTTTCTCCAACCTTCTCACCATAGGTCCTGGTCAACAAATAGATTTGGACTCCTGCTTTCCCTTATTCTGGTCTAAAGGCACAATGAGATGCCTTTTTGGAGATGAATCAGCTTACATCCTTTTGCTTGTTTGGTGTCCTATAAGGAAAGTGCTCATCTGAATGTCTTCTGTGCAGTGCTCACTGCTACTTAAATGACCTCTCATCTGGTTTGAGGGGGTTGTGTGGCTGGTGACTGAGCTCCAATGACTAGAAGAGTCCAAAGACCCTGACTCCTAGGAAAGTGTGGGAGTCAAGTCCATTCTAATTCAGACCGTTTGGAAGGCTCTACTCTGGCTGGGGATCATGCTAGGTGTGGTTTCTGCTTTGGTCAGAGTAGCATGGTGGACTTTCTTTGGTTCAGTACCTCTCACCTCTGGCCCCACTAGGCTGTATGCCTGGGTGGCCAGCCCTGGCTGGGGTGCTGCGTCAGTTGACAGTGTCCGCTGGCTGCGTGAGGCACTATTTGCTGTGGAGCGAGTGGAGGAAGAACCAGAGCGTGAGCTCCGAGAGCCTGAGGAAGAGGAGCTGGGTTTCACAAGGCGGGCTTTCGGAGCTTCAGCATCTTCTCTAAAAAGAAAAAACAGCGAAGATAAACTTTAATACTGGCAGGTCTGTGATTGCTTCCACTGTGGGTGCTTCCTTCTGAGGTTTCCCAATACATTCCTCAAGCTGTAAGCCTCGGATAATACCATTGGTAAGGCAGCCATTTAGGGACATAGGTACTTTCTCGTTTCTTAAGACTTAATGCTTGGCTCATGCAAATGTGTATTTTGTTAGCCCACTGGTCAGCTCTATTGTACTGGGAGGATAGAATCTTATCATTGAGATGGCCTAGATAGCACTCCCCCTGATTTGGAGTTTGTCTGCATAAACCTTTTCATGACCCATAGGCTGGCTATGCCCATTCTTCATTGTATGCCTGTTATGAGTAGAAGTCAATCAGAAGTAATGTAAGTTGAACTGTTTTATGTACATACAGGTTTTTTTTTGTTTTGTTTTGAGACAGAGTCTCGCTCTTCCGCCCAGGCTGGAGTGCAGTCGTACGATCTTGACTCACTTCAACAACCTCTGCTTCCCGGGTTCAGGAGATTCTCCTGCTTTGGAGAATTGCTTGAACCCAGGAGGCGGAGGTTGCAATGAGCCGAGATCGTGCCACTGCACTCCAGCCTGCCGCCTGGTGACAGAACGAGACTCTGTCTTAAAAAAAAAAAAAAAAGCCGGGCGCGGTGGCTCAAGCCTGTAATCCCAGCACTTTGGGAGGCCGAGGCGGGTGGATCACGAGGTCAAGAGATCGAGACCATCTTGGTCAACATGGTGAAACCCCGTCTCTACTAAAAACACAAAAAATTAGCTGGGCGTGGTGGCGCATGCCTGTAATCCCAGCTACTGAGGAGGCTGAGGCAGGAGAATTGCCTGAACCCAGGAGGCGGAGGTTGCGGTGAGCCGAGATCGCGCCATTGCACTCCAGCCTGGGTAACAAGAGCGAAACTCCGTCTCAAAAAAAAAAAAAAAAAAAAAAAAAAAAAAGGGATTCTCCTGTCTCAGCGTGTGCTACCATCCCTGGCTATTTTTTTTTTACTTTTGTAGAGATGGAGTCTAACTGTGTTGACCAGGCAGGTTTCAAACTCCTGGACTCAAGTAATCCTCCCACCTCTCAGCCTCCCAAAGTGCTAAGATAACAGGCATGAGCTACCACTCCAGCCTAAATTGAGCCTTTTTTTTTTTTTTTTTGAGACGGAGTTTCGCTCTTGTTACCCAGGCTGGAGTGCAATGGTGCGATCTCAGCTCACCGCAACCTCCGCCTCCTGGGCTCAGGCAATTCTCCTGCCTCAGCCTCCTAAGTAGCTGGGATTACAGGCACGCGCCACCGTGCCCAGCTAGTTTTTTGTATTTTTAGTAGAGACGGGGTTTCACCATGTTGACCAGGATGGTCTCGATCTCTTGACCTTGTGATCCACCCGCCTCGGCCTCCCAAAGTGCTGGGATTACAGGCTTGAGCCACCGCGCCCGGCTTTTTTTTTTTTTTTTTTTTTTTTTTTTTTGAGACGGAGTTTCACTCTTGTTACCCAGGCTGGAGTGCAATGGCGAGATCTCGGCTCACCGCAACCTCCGCCTCCTGGGCTCAGGCAATTCTCCTGCCTCAGCCTCCTGAGTAGCTGGGATTACAGGCATGCGCCACCATGCCCAGCTAGTTTTTTGTATTTTTAGTATCTTTTAAGTGTTTACTGAAGATAAGATAGTTTCACAATAAAGTCCAGGTAGACTACACCCTCTGTCCTTAGGCTGGAACTTTCTATCTACCAGGATATTCCTTTTAACGGATTTATTATTAAGACAAAACTGGGGGCCGGGTGCGGTGGCTCAAGCCTGTAATCCCAGCACTTTGGGAGGCCAAGGCGGGTGGATCACGAGGTCGAGAGATCGAGACCATCCTGGTCAACATGGTGAAACCCCGTGTCTACTAAAAATACAAAAAAAAAATTAGCTGGGCATGGTGGCGCGTGCCTGTAATCCCAGCTACTCAGGAGGCTGAGGCAGGAGAATTGCCTGAACCCAGGAGGCGGAGGTTGCGGTGAGCCGAGATCGCGCCATTGCACTCCAGCCTGGGTAACAAGAGCGAAACTCCGTTTCAAAAAAAAAAAAAGACAAAACTGGGAACATTTATGTTGACTGGTCACTATAGTACTGGCTTTAAAACAGAAGCCTAGTAAAAGTGGGGATTTGAGAGGCTTACCGAATTTCATTAGGTCTCTCTTCTTCCTCATATCTCTCTTTGTCTTTCCTTTGGATTAGCAGCCACACCAAGAGGACAATCAGCAGGGCTCCAGCCACTATGCCTGTCACCGCTCCCACAACCATGCCGATGCTTTGTACATCTATTTTCTCAGAAGCAAAAGCACAAGTAAAACCAAACATAAGCTAGGAAATACATGAACTCAAAAAACATAAGCTTTGGACAGGATGTGTATTTCCAGGTCTTTATCATAATCTTCCTGAGCAGTACTGCATTACCCTCTCTTATTGCTGTATTTGCAGTTGTAGTTTCTGAATCACAGACTTCACCAGCAAGTGGCCAGGTGTCAGTGAATAAGTCTGGGTGGGTTCGGATGATAAAACTGGGCTGGGAGAGTAATTATATCATGTCTGAAGATTTGTTAGCCTTAACAGGATAACATTTGGGCATTCTTCTGGCTCTGCCGACTTCCCTGTTTTAACAACTCCCTTCTCCCACCAGTCATATAAAAGAATGCAAAAAAAGCCGGGCGCGGTGGCTCAAGCTGTAATCCCAGCACTTTGGGAGGCCGAGGCGGGTGGATCACGAGGTCAAGAGATCGAGACCGTCCTGGCCAATATGGTGAAACCCCGTCTCTACTAAAAATACAAAAATTAGCTGGGCATGGTGGCGCATGCCAGTAATCCCAGCTATTCAGGAGGCTGAGGCAGGAGAATTGCCTGAACCTAGGAGGCGGAGGTTTCGGTGAGCCTAGATCGCGCCATTGCACTCCAGCCTGGGTAACAAGAGCGAAACTCCGTCTCAAAAAAAAAAAAAAAAAAATTTGGCCAGGCACAGTGCCTCAGGCTTGTAATCCTAGCACTTTGGACTTTGGGAGGCTGACGTTGGTGGATCACTTGAGGTCAGGAGGTCGAGACCAGCCTGGCTGACATGGGGAACCTCATCCCTAATAAAAATACAAAAATTATCGGGGCATGGTGGCGCACGCCTGTAATCCCAGCTACTTGGGAGGTTGAGGCATGAGAATTGCTTGAACCAGGAGGCAGAGGTTGTAGTGAGCTGAGATCACACCTCTTCACTCCAGCCTGGGTGACGGAGCAAGAAAAAAATTTTTTCAATTTGAGTAGAATAAAAATTGATTTTTAAAAAGGAATATAACCTATAATTTTAGACTGTGGAATTTGACCATGGATCCTAGAAATTTAGAAGTTAGGGTAAATATGATTTACAGTTTAGTAATACATGTTCTTTCATATACTAAATATTTAAGTGCCTACCTGAGCCAGGCACAGTTGTAGGCACTGCTGAAGATAGGCAGGTTTTCTACTTTTGTTGAGTTTACATTCCAGAAGAGGAAAACATAATAAACAAGTAAAGATAATTTCAGATAATGGATAAATTCTATGAAGGCCACATTGGAGGAGTGAATTTTAGAGGGATAATGGAGGGATACCACTTAAGTTTGCGTGATCAAGACTTTGAGGAGGTGACATTTCAGTTGAGGCATACATGATATAAAGGATGATCTTGTGATTAGGAACAGAGCATTCCAGGCAGAAGGAAGAGCAAGTGTAATTAATGTGAGTGTGTCTGGAGCATAGTGAGCAAGGGAGAGTAAAGGGAGATGAGGTCACAGAGATGGGAAGGGACCAGCCCAGGTAGGCCATGGCAAGAATTTTAATGTGAGCGCAATAAAAGAGTAACAATGCAAATTATATCTGAGACCCTGCACCATGCTGCTCTAGGGAAAACAACTTGTGGAAGGGTAGGAAACAAAGCAGGGACCCTGGTTAGGAGGCTTCCAATAGTGCACGCTAGAGATGATGATGGATTAGGCTAGGATGAAAGTAATGTATATAGAAACAAGTACATGGCTATTGCCTGTATTTTGGAAGTATAATCAACAGAATTTGCTATTGATTTTTTTTTTTGGAGACAGAGTTTCCCTCTTGTCGCTCGGGCTGGAGTGCAATGGCATGATCTCGGCTCATTGCAACCTTCACCTCCTGGGTTCAAGTGATTCTCTTGCCTCAGCTTCCTGAGCAGCTGGGATTATAGGTGCGCACCACCACCCCCTCCACTCCCCTGCTAATTATTCTATTTTTAGTAGAGACGGGGTTTCACCATGTTGACCAGGCTAGTCTCAAACTTCTGACCTCAGGTGATCTGCCCAGCTCAGCCTCCCAGAGTGCTCGGGTTATAGGCGTGAGCCACTGTGCCTGGCCAGAAACAGGTTCTTAATCATGATACTGGTTATACAGGTATCTTCACTTTTGAAAATCTATCAAGTTGTACACTTAACCTTCTTCTTTGTATATGCCTTACTTTAATGTATTTACCCCTCAGAAATCTATAAAGCTAATTGTGCTACCAATTTAGTCAAAATGTAAAACCATCTGTTTCCCCATAACCTTTCTAAAATTGTTTCTACAGTTTTTATATTTGCTATACTGATAGCTTAAAATAAAAAGGATGTTTTTATTTTCTCAATCTAATGGGGAATAAAGGATTTGGGGCCACCTCTTTATGTTTATTGACCATTTTTTATTTCTTTTCCTGAGAACTGCCTGTTATGTTTTTAAGAAAAAGTATCTCCTGAAATACCACAGGGAAACAAACAAACAAACAAAAAGTATCTGATAACTTGGAAATAGACAAAAGAAGTACAGAGCTTGGCAATTTACAACTCTGAAAGGGCAACGTGTAGAGACCTCTGTCTATTAGAGATGGAAATAATTCCTCTACCAGTTAAATGGATGACCCCAGGAATTATAGTCTGTGACTTTGTAGCTCAACGTCTAATCCAGTAATCTGTTAATAGTAATAGCTAATGTTACTGAACACCTACCATGTGTCAAGCCCTGTTTCTAGGCTTCACTGGTGTTGGGTGATCTGTCTCTGAGATGGCTCATTCACATGTCTGTTGGCTGGAGGCCTCAGTTCCTCACTACATGGGCCTCTGATACAAGGCTCTTAACAAAGCAGCTGACCACCCATAAAGTGAGTGATGTAAGAGAGAGAGAGGATCTGAGTGATCTGAGATCTAAGAAAGAGAGCTGCAATGCTTTCGCAGATGCGACGTACCATCACTTCTGTATTATATTCATCAGAAGTGAGTCACTAAGTTCAGATCACACTGAAAGAGAGGAGAATGAAGGTGTACCTCTTCTTTTTCTTTTATCGAGGCGGAATTTTGCTCTTGTTGCCCAGACTGGAGTGCAGTGGTGCGATCTCAGCTCACTGCAACCTCCGCCTCCCAGGTTCAAGTGATTCTTCTGCCTCAGCCTCCCAAGTAGCTGGAATTATAGGGATGTGCCACCACACCCAGCTAATTTTCTCTTTTTAGTAGCGATGGGTTTTCACCATGTTGGTCAGGCTGGTCTCAAACTCCTGACCTTAAGTGATCTACCTGCCTCAGCCTCTGAAAGTGTTGGGATTACAGGTGTGAGCCACTGCGCCTGGCTGAAGGTATACTCTTGAAGGGAGAAGTAGCAAATAATTACGTGGACATATTTTTAAATCCACCAGAGTGCAAAGTCTAATAAGCAAAGTATATAAATACGTAATAAAGAACTCTTTCAAATCAGTGAGAAAACAGCTAAACCAAAATGGGCACAGAATGTTGAAGTATAACTTTGAAAAAAGTAAAATATTCTTGGAGACTTTGTTCATTAAAAAATTAAAAAAAAAAGAAAAAAGTAAAATATTGATTCTGACAAAGGTTTTACTTAATTATTACTTAATAAAAGGGCACTTGGCATAATGGCTCATGCCTGTAATCCCAGCACCTTGGGAAGCTGAGGCAGGTGGATCACCTGAGGTCAGGTGTTCAAGACCAGCCTGGTCAACAGGTGAAACTCCATCTCTACTAAAAATACAAAAATTAGCCAGGTGTAGTGGTGCATACTTGTAATCCCAGCTACTCATGAGGCTGAGGCAGGAGAATTGCTTGAACTTGGGAGGCAGAGGTTGAAGTGAGCTGAGATTGTGCCATTGCACTCCAGCCTGGGTGACAGAGTGAGACTCTGTCTTAAAAATAAATAAAAATAAGGGGGCTAGAAAAATGTTAAAAGTTGTCCAAAGAGCATTTGAGAAATTAGAGACAATTTAACAAAGATGTTGTGGAGACAATTTAATGAACATCTGTGAAAGATTAACATCTGGATCCAGCCTCCTTTTGTCTTTTAAATTGGTTTATCCTATCTTTTTTCATCACTCAATCTCTAGATTATAAGCCTGGTATACTATTTATTACATCAAATAAATATTAACACTTCAAGCATGGCTTGTGGATGTAGGATTCGGTTCAAAAGTCTAAAGTTGCTAAATTGAGGAGAAATAAAAATAGCTAATGTTATTGAACACACACTATATGTCAAGCCCTGTTCCTAGGCAGTTGTAAGTAAATGTGTTTATTTACCAACTTTTCAGAAAAATGAAGAGGCTGGGCGCCATTGCTCAAGCCTGTAATCCTAGCACTCTGAGAGGCAGAGGACAGATTGCCTAAGTCCAGGAGTTCGAGACCATCCTGGCCGACATGGTGAAACCCTTTCTCTACAAAAATACAGAAATCAGCCAGGCGTGGTAGCATGTGCCTGTAATCCCAGCTGCTTGGGAGGCTGACACAGCACAATCGCTTGAAGCTGGGAGGCAGAGGCTGCAGTGAGCCAAGATTGTGCCACTGTACTCCAGCCTAGGTGACAGAACAAGACCGTGTCTCCAAAAAAAAAAAAAAAAAAAAAAAAAAAGGAAAAAAGGAAAAACTCTGAGACAATTAACTATTACACTTCTTTATAGATTGGGAAACATGCCTCAGGTACTACAGAGTTAGTGGTAGCTGTGATTGCAATCCAGGCAGTTATCTGACTCCACAGCTAATGCTCTTAGTCACCTGCTACTGTCGCTAATCTGTACTTGAAGCAAATCTAATGCTTGATTATAACACGTGTGCGTGCACATGCACAAGCACATATGTACTCAACAAATACTCTGTGGAGGGGAGAGATCTCATCTCCTTGCCTAGAATGGTAGGTGGCATATAACTAGCTTGGTGGTTTTGTTTGTTTTTGTTTTTAGGAATGGTGTTTATTTAGTACTCTCCTGGATATAGTAAATATCTTTAGGGGGCTGGCTAATTCACACATGTGTAAATACAGAGTCAATTGTTTTCTTTCTTTCTTTTTTTTTTTTTAAGAGGCAGTCTCGCTCTGTCGCCAAGGCTGGAGGGCAGTGGTGCAATCTCAGCTCACTGCAGCCTCCCAATTTCAGTGGATTCTTCTGCCTCAGCATCCTGAGTAGCTGAGATTACAGGCACCCACCACCACGCCCGGGGAATTTTTGTTATTTTAGTAGAAACAGGGTTTCACCATGTTGGCCAGGCTGGTCTTAAACTCCTGACATCAAGTGATCGGCCCACCTTGGCCTCCTAAAGTGCTGGGATTCCAGGCATGAGCCACTATGCCCAGCCAGTCAGTTGTTGAGTGGTCCTTGCAACTAAATTTATTTTGGTGATAGCCATATCCTTCTAGAAATAAAGATTTTGACCTTAACCTTACTCTTACTCATGATTAGAATGTCTTACATTGACCCAGAATGCAAAAACAAGTAAAAAAACAGAAACAAAAACTCCTTTGGATGCTTACACTGTACAGTTACCCGTACCACACAGCTCTCCTTCCCAGCTTCATTGCCGGCTGTGCACTGGTAGAGTCCGGAGGAGGACATGGTAAGATTCTGCAGCAGAACTCTCCCAGGGTTGTTGTAGTCTGCACAAGCAGAAAGAGTGACTGTAAATTCCTTAAGTGATGGTATCTATATTTCTTGTTGATTGTATCACTGACTTGAGATTCTCGTACTATTTGATAAGGATGAAATGATGGAAAATATACCCTTTGGGAACATGAGAAGAAAGGTAAACATTCTTTTAAGGTGTAGCACATCCTCAAAAGTTAGAAAGGTTATGAACATTTAAGGGATACTAAACATATTTAGATACAGTGGATTTATGTAGTACATTTTTCTAGTCTCTTTTACGACTTTTACATGTCATTTGAGGAAAGAAAAGACAGATTTTCTGTCCTAGTTAATGGATTTTAAAAATGGAAGTTCAGTAGGTTCAGCAGGGTATTTCAGGTCACATAGTGAGTTGCTGACAAAGCCGATTTAGAACTTGTGGATAGAGCACCATCTTGTTGGCTCTGGGTTGGTGAGAAGATGACTTACCAATCCTAGATTTGGGAGGCAGACGTTCGTCCTCTCCCTCCTTCTCCCGGATTCGCTGCCAGTAATACACAATGGGCTCTGTGCCAGAGGATGACTCACACTGCAAAGTCAGGTCACTTCCTTCTGTCAGCTCTCCTTCCATCTCGCACTTGGGCTTGGATGGTCTCACTGGCAACAACAACAACAAGCAAAGTGTAATGATTCAAAGATCCCCAAACACCAGATTCAATAGAAAAACTGTGTCCTATTGTGTTGTTTCTCCAGCCATCCGTTTTGGTCATCTTTTGAGTGGGGATTAATGTAGCCTTGCTTTACATTACCCCCAGAAAAACATCCACCTCCATATCCTAAGCACACATACCCCCAGTTCCAGCTGCTATCAGTGGTGCTGTTGTAATTTTGGGGGGCTACCTCAGAAACTCCCTCATTACTTCTCAAAGAAGACACATTATTATTGGACATTTTAGGAAAGTTGAGCAAGGTTTTACTGATACTGAAACAAGTGTATTAATTTAGAAGCAATTAAGTAGAACTTAGCAGCTCTTGCTGTCAAAAAACAGAACTGAATTTGAAATCTGAGAGACTTAAATATGAAGATCCCAGTTAAATATTAGAGAATATTTACATTTTGTAATGGACAACTATGGAAAATTGCTCATATTTTCATTTTTTATTATGGCTATAATACAGAATACAGATTTTTTTTTTCTTTTTTGAGATGGAGTCTCGTTCTGTCGCCTAGGCTGCAACCTCCACCTCCCAGGTTCAAGCTATTCTCTTGCTTCAGCCTCCTGAGTTGCTGGGATTACAGGTGCGCACCACCATACCCTGCTAATTTTTGTATTTTTAGTAGAGACGGGGTTGGTCAGGCTGGTCTCAAACTCCTGATCATGCCTGGCTAATTTTTGTATTTTTAGTAGAGACCATGTTGGTCAGGCTGGTCTTAAACTCCTGACCTCATGATCCGCCTGCCTCGGCCTCCCAAAGTGCCGGGATTACAGGTGTGAGCCACCATGCCTGGCCAAGATACTCATTTCTTCCCAGGGAACTGGATGAGGTGACCTCTGAATGTATAATACAAAGTACTGAACATACAGTTTTGTGTCACCATGATGCATATGGCTATCACTCATAGATACCTCAGAAATAAGGTGTAGACATTCACCTTGGCATCCTATCTTACCTAAGACTTTTAAGATGACATGGCTCCACACGTAGCGCCCTGAATTCTTAACCTTGCAAGTGTACCGACCCTCATCACTGGGCTTCAGAGGTTCAATCTGCAAGGAGGCGTCTCCTGCCAGGAAATTGGAAGCAAAGGCCACTCGGCCTTTCTGTTCCTCAGTCAAGTTATTGTAGACGTGATGACTGGAGTAAGTGATCACCTGTGGGATAGACCGAGGCAGAGTCAAGCAGCGTAACTCTCAGCCTGCCTTTCCTGATGGTGTCAAGAAGAGGAAAGGGAGTACTCCCAGTAGCACAAAGTGGTCAAGCCTGGGGCTAAGAGTCCAGGAGACCTCTGTTCTGCATAAAAGTACAGTACATTTTGCCTCGGCCTTGTTTGTCCTTACAAAAATAGTAACACTTTATATTTGTGTAGGATTTTGTTATAAAGTATTAATTATTAAATGCGCAGAACCAGTCCGTCTTATAGGTAAGGAATTTTGAGTTACATACTGAAGGTCATATAGCTAAGTCAAGAAAAGGAGGAAAATGTGCAAGTGTAGAACTACACATACATTAAGCATAGACTTGCGAGAGGAAAATAAACCTCAGGACTCCCGGATCACTAAGCCAAAGAGAAGGTCAAGCTTGGAACTGTGTCCTGCAAACCTGCCTTCCATTCTATTCCTGAATAAAATAGCTACAAAGATAGAAAAGCTACAGTCGTCCCTCATAATTTGCCCACAAGGAAATTGCTTGTGAACAAAGGACAGACAGAACTCAAAGTTACCCCTCTGCACTCATGAGACAAATGCATATCTGATTTCTTCCTTTGCCTATTTCACTAAGCTGGACTAAGGCATACATGATTTATTCCTGTAAATTGGGTATTCCGTGAAAGCCTAATCAGAATCTCGAAAGAATGCAACCAGTTGTCTCTTATCTCCCGAAGACCTGGAAGCCCCTCCCTGATTCAGGTTTTCCCACCTTTCCAGACCGAGCCAATGTACATCTTACATATATTGATTGATGTCTCATGCCTCCTTGAAATGTAGAAAACTAAACTGTGTCCTGACCACCTTGGGGATATTCCCTCAGGACCTCCTGAGGCTGTGTCAGGGTGCATCCTTTACCTTGGCAAAATATACTTTCTAAATTGAGACCGGTTTCAGATACCTTTTGGTTTGTAGATTATTTGTGAAAGGGCACACAATAAGAGGTAGTTGACTCCAAGGAGAATAGAGAGAATGGAAGATAAAGATGGGGAGGAGACTCATCTTTCTCCTGCATACTCCTTTCTTTTTTTTCTTCTTGAGACAGAGTCTTGCTCTGTCACCTAGGCTGGAGTGCAGTGGTGTGATCTTAGTTCACTGCAACCTCCACTTGTCTGGTTCAAGCCGGTCTCCTGCCTCAGCCTCTGAGTAGCTGGGATTACAGGCGCCTGAATAGCACACCTAGCTAATTTTTTGTGTTTTTAGTATAGACAGGGTTTCGCCACGTTGGCCAGGCTGGTCCCGAACTTCTGGGATTACAGGTGTGAGCCACAGCGCCTGGCAAACCTCTTCTTTGCTTCAAGTAATTTATAATCCAGTGAGATTAACAGGAAAGACATAACAGAGAAAAAGAAACGATTTATTTGAAATAATATCAAGGAAGTGTCCCAGAAAAGTTGGTGGCATTTGAGCTAGGCTTTGAGAGGCAAGGAGAAAAGGCCTGAAGGGAGCATTCCAGATACACAGAAGGGCACTAAAAAAGGCATGCAAGCATATAGGCATCTCCCAGGCACATTTCAGCTGCAGCTGTTCCAAATTGTTTCACTCTACTTAAGCCCTTAACCCTGCCCTCAATCACGTGATGCTCTAAAGCTCCTCAGTTCCTTTCCTGAGAATGTTCAAAGCTATCCAATGAAATGTCCATCAATTCTTTTCATTTATCAAAACTCTTCAGTATAATCATTCACTTTTAACACCTTTCTGAGAAAAATATGTTTTCTTCTTTGCATATTCTTTTTATTCAGCAAATGTTAGCTTGTGTCAGTACCATGGCCATCGCTTAGAAAATAAGCAGGAAGGACACTTCCTACACTGAACTTCTTAGGGTGTTGGGGGTTGTGGGGGAGGAAATGGAAGAGTAACAGGGAAGAGGATATAAAATACTCTACCTTGATGTTAAATAATATACTTAAAATATTTTCATTCAATATTACCCTTACATTTCAAACACTAAACTCTACCAACCACTTTTTTTTTGTGACAGTCTCACTCTGTCTTCCATGGCTGGAGTTTAGTGGCATGATCTTGGCTCACTTCAACCCTCGCCTCCTGGGTTCAAGTGATTCTCTGGCTTCAGCCCCTTGAGTAACTGAGATTACAGTCCTGCACCACCACACCTGGCTAATTTTTGTATTTTTAGTAGGGATGGGGTTTCGCCAGGTTGTGCAGACTTGTCTCAATTCCTGACTTCAAGTGATCTGTCAAAGTGTTGGGATTACGGGTGTGAGCCACTGTGCCCATCCCGTATTTCTATTCCTAACACATTTTTGAGCTCCAGTTTTATATTTCCAGCTGTCCGGCTGTATGTTATTGTTCTCTTTAATGTATTCTGCATACTGCAACTGCTGTCAGGTAATTATTTTTTTTGTAGAGACAAGGTCCCAATCTGTTGCCTAGGTTGGAGTGCTGTGGCACCATCGTAGTTCACTGTAGCCTCAACCTCCTGGGCTCACGGGATTCTCCCGCCACAGCCTTCCACATAGCTGGGACTATAGGCATGACCCACCATGCCTGGCCCCAAGTTAATTTTAATGTAAAATTCACATGAGCTCTTTTCCAGCTCAGAAACTTTTTTTTTTTTTTTTTTTTTTTTTTTTGAGACGGAGTTTCCCTCTTGTTACCCAGGCTGGAGTGCAATGGCGCGATCTAGGCTCACCGCAACCTCCGCCTCCTGGGTTCAGGCAATTCTCCTGCCTCAGCCTCCCGAGTAGCTGGGATTCCAGGCACGCGCCACCATGCCCAGCTAATTTTTTGTATTTTTAGTAGAGACGGGGTTTCACCATGTTGACCAGGATGGTCTTGATCTCTTGACCTCGTGATCCACCCGCCTTGGCCTCCCAAAGTGCTGGGATTACAGGCTTGAGCCATCGCGCCCGGCCTCCAGCTCAGAAACTTTTAATGGCTCCCCACCACCTCTGAATGATGACCAGACAGCCTAGGAGTCTCAAAGTAGCCTCTACATTATCTTCTCAATCTCATTCCTTGTTTAGTCCACTTCACATACCTGGGTGAAATAAGACTACATTATTTCCCTTTCTCTAATATTAGAGTTATGCTTTATTTGTGCTCCTGTGCCGTGGCTCACTGCATTTTCCTACTGAGAAACCCCATTTTGTGTGTGTGTGTGATGGAGTCTCAATTTTTTTTTGGGGGAGACTGAGTCTCTTTCTGTCACCAGGCTGGACTGCAGTGGTGCAATCTGGGCTGACTGCCACCTCCGTCTCCCGGGTTCAAGCAATTCCCCTGCCTTAGCCTCCCAAGTAACTGGGACTACAGGTGTGCACCACCATGCTCAGCTAGTTTTTTGTATATATATATATTTTTTGAGACGGAGTTTTGCTCTTGTTACCCAGGCTGGAGTGCAATGGCGCGATCTCGGCTCACCGCAACCTCCGCCTCCTGGGTTCAGGCAATTCTCCTGCCTCAGCCTCCTGAGTAGCTGGGATTACAGGCACGCACCACCATGCCCAGCTGATTTTTTTGTATTTTTAGTAGAGACGGGGTTTCACCATGTTGACCAGGATGGTCTCGATCTCTTGACCTTGTGATCCACCCGCCTCGGCCTCCCAAAGTGCGGAGATTACAGGCTTGAGCCACCGCGCCCGGCCTAGATTTTTGTATTTTTAGTAGAGATGGAGGTTTCACCAGGTTGGCCGGGATGGTCTCAATCTCTTGACTTCGTGATCTGCCTGCCTCGGCCTCTCAGAGTACTGCGATTACAGGCATGAGCCACCGTACCAGGCCGATGAAATCTCACTTTGTCACCCAGGCTGGAATGTGCAATGGTGTGGTCTTGGCTCACTGCAGCCTCCGCCTACCTGGTTCAAGTGATTCTCCCGCCTCAGTCTCCCAAGTACCTGGTATTATAGGTGTGTGCTACCACACTTGGCTAATTTTTGTATTTTTAGTAGAGATTGGGTTTCGCTATGTTGGCCAGGCTGTTCTGAAACTCCTGATCTGCCGGCCTCGGCTTCCCAAAGTACTAGAATCACAGACCTGGGCAATTTTCTTGTTTTTTTATTTTTTAGAGATGAGATTTCATCATGTTGTCCAGGATGGTCTCGATCTCCTGACCTTGTGATCCACCCCTCCTCGGCCTCCCAAACTGCTGGGATTACAGGTGTGAGCCACCATGCCTGGCCAATTTTTTTATTTTTAATAGATATGGGGTCCCCTTCTGTTGCCCAGGCTGGTAGGATAACTTTTTTAAGTAACAAGGTTTTTTTTTGTTGTTGTTGTTGTTGACACGGAGTTTCACCCTTGTTACCCAGGCTGGAGTGCAATGGCGCGATCTCGGCTCACCGCAACCTCCGCCTCCTGGGCTCAGGCAATTCTCCTGCCTCAGCCTCCTGAGTAGCTGGGATTACAGGCACGTGCCACCATGCCCAGCTAATTTTTTGCACTTTTAGTAGAGACGGGGTTTCACCATGTTGACAAGGATGGTCTCGATCTCTCAACCTCGTGATCCACCCGCCTCGGCCTCCCAAAGTGCTGGGATTACAGGCTTGAGCCACCGCGCCCGGCAATATTCCATGCTGATGGGAAATTCCATCTTTTTTTTTTTTTTTGAGACGGAGTTTCGCCCTTGTTACCCAGGCTGGAGTGCAATGGCGCGATCTCGGCTCACCGCAACCTCCGCCTCCTGGGTTCAGGCAATTCTCCTGCCTCAGCCTCCTGAGTAGCTGGGATTACAGGCACGCGCCACCATGCCCAGCTAATGTTTTGTATTTTTAGTAGAGACGGGGTTTCACCATGTTGACCAGGATGGTCTCGATCTCTCGACCTCGTGATCCACCCGCCTCGGCCTCCCAAAGTGCTGGGATTACAGGCTTGAGCCACCGCGCCTGGCTATAGGATAACTTTTTTAAAGAAAAGGCAAAACTATGACTCTCATATAGATAGAAAATAAATGTCAAGTGTTTTCTTTCACTTAATGATAGAATCAGTAA